GGTAAGGGTGCTGGTGAAATTACAGGCACATAGGACTTGTCAACTTATGTCTGAGGGTGACGGGCGTAGTGGCAGTATCCCTCGTATCTTTCCGGCTTAATGCTCTGAGTGGCACTGCAATTATTATGGACCGGCGTGTAGCTTACCATCGGCCGCACGACTAGTTCGTCCCATCACTTAATATTGTAAAAAAAATCGTGCTTCCTGAGTTGGGCCCCTGAAACGTAGGTTTTTTGAATAAATAAAATAAATTAAAATATAATATACATAGTATAAATCCTACACTCAGGCCAATAACAGATTTTCTGGAATATACTTTGGAATTAACTCGCGATGAACAGAATATAATATATAAAAAATGTGTGTAAGAACGTTCTTCAAAAACAATATCAGTTTTTAGACAAAGAAGGAACAAAAAAGAAAAGAAAACATAAATAAGAATGAAACACAACATCCATACGTAATAAAATTAAGTTACTTGTTGCTACGACATCAACTATTTTTCGTCCACATGACAATATATTTAAAATCAAATATATTTGAAAGCAATAATAAAAAATAAAAAGAATAAAATAAAATTCACTAACAACATAACACACACACAACTTCATTGACTTTGCGATATATTCCCTAGTACCATATTTTTGTCTAGACTCAATGAACAAATCTATGTCATTGAAAGCGTTATTATAATAGGGGTTAAAGTATGAAATTGCCGATTTGTACTGAAAATCTAAATTGTTTATTTTTTAAATTTTTAACAAATTTATTTAATCAAAATAGTTGCCATTATTATCTATACATTGCTGCCATCTAATGGGAAGGTTATTAATGCCTTTGCGATAGATCTCCGACGATCCAGACTGCACAAACTGTGTGAAAGCATTTTGTACTGCCTCCTGGGAAGATAACTTCTTGTCACGTAGATAATTGTCCAAATCACGAAAAAAATGGTAGTCCCTTGAGAAGCAAGGTCGGGTGTATACGGAGGATGACGAATGGTTTCTAACTGCAGTTCCTGAAGGGTCAAAATGGTTTCTCGTGCTGTGTGAGGTCTCGCGTTGTCGTGGAGCAATAATGGTGAAGATCGATTCGTGAGTCGGGGCTGTTTTACTGCTAGTTTTGTCAACATGGTTCGGAGTTCGGCACAATAGACATCTGCCGTTATTGCTTGACCAGATCGGAGAAAACTATAGTGAATAACACCATGCTGAGACCACCAAACAGTTACCATTACCTTTTTATTGGTAAGTTTTGCTTTAGGACACTGTTGTGGCATTTGACCTGGGGTCAGCCATTGCATTTTTCTTTTCCGGTTATCATAAAGAATCCACTTTTCATCACATGTTACAATTCGATCCAATATTCCTTCATTTCTGTACCGGTTCAACAAGGCAACACAAGTTTCAACACGCGTTTCTTTCTGCAGATCAGTCAAATCATGAGGCACCCATTTTTCGTATTTTTTTATTTTATTGATTTGACGCAAGTGAGTCAATATTGTGGGTAAGGTAACGTTAAACCATGCCGCTAATTCCTGGGTAGTTTGACTAGGATCGGCTTCCACTATCTCTCTTAATTCATCGTTATTCACCTGTGTGGGCGGTCTTCCTCGTGACTCGTTCTTTAAGTCGAAATTTCCATCACGAAAGCGTTTAAACCAAAATCGCACGGTGCGTTCATTAGTAGACCCCTCTCCAAACGCAGCATTGATATTGCGGGCTGTTTCTGCCGCGTTAGTTCCGCGTCGGAACTCGTATTCAAAAATCACTCGAATTTTCGCAGTATCCATCTTTCTTGTCTAAATTGAATAACAAAAACAATTGAAAGTCGAAATTCAAATGTTTCAAATTTAAAAAAAAAAAATCACAGAAACCATTTGGAAAAAGTTTCATTCGAAAACCTCAAACCATGAAGATTCTATGAAAATTCAAAGAACCTATTGCAATAAAACGGCAATTTCATACTTTAACCCCTAATATAAACGATATAGCCTTGTAAGAACCGCGTATGTCCGTAATTAGTTGAGTGGTAGGGTGTAGTAAATAAACGCGTATGTCTTGTACATAATAGTGTGGAACCAACCAACGCCGGCGACTAGCTCTTAGAGAATCAATTCGATTTTTAATATATATTAAATAATAATCCTTTTTATGGGTCAAGTGTCATTAAATTAAATCATCGGCAATTATCTGTAGTTGCACGTATAAACGCAAATTAATAGATTTAGCTATAGGTATAATAGATTGATTAAGTTTTTTGTAGTCGGGTGGTAGCTCAGTGTAAAGGTTACTTCGTAACTAAAGGTCGGCAGTTATACATAGATAGATAAACACTTTATTCTATAATATATTACAAAACACAAATTCAGATTAAACCATTGACTTACAAATAAATGGACGACTGGTCTAATACAAAAACCACGAAAAAAATGTCCCAAGTCCACCTATTTAAACGTAGTGACATGTAAAGGAATATGAAAAAGCTAAAACCTCCTGAGAACCTTCTCCTTTTTTGAAGTCGGTTAAAACACAACATTATTGACATAACAGTGAAAGGGCGCTGACTCAGCATACCTTCGGAGATAGTGCAAATCCACGTAGTATTGGTAAACAGCGCTTATCTGCATCAAACCAAATTTCACAGGAGAGAGTTTTAACGTGATTACTTTGTTATTTCAATGACGACTTTCCTTTTTGCACAGTAAGCATTAGTTTATGTCGTCTTCAGACTGATAACAATAGATTCGCGAAAATCATTCGCTAATTTGGTTGCCACGACACATTTACGCGGATTTGGTTTGGCGACTACATTACTGAAATGGAGACTCAATCAAATGCTAGTTACGCGTAATTGCGCTATCTCCGACGATATGCCAAAGTTTCCTAAGGGCTGGTTTTCTGCAGTCAGGACCAACGTGAGGGATTAAATTATTTGTAAGCAAAAACATAACGTGTAAAGTTATACATTGAAATAATTTACATGCAAAATGTAAATAATGCATCTAAAATAACTATTTGATGTGTAAGTGCACGAACAATAGTAAATAGTGATTTTAAATAGGTTTTAGTGTTGTAATGTATTAAGTACATATAATGTGAATAGAAAGCAAAGCAAAAATAAAATTCCATTCTAGACAGACCACGGAAGAGAATATAAACGCGCTACACAGATTTTTGAATTGGGAGTAGGTGTTGCCGGTATCTACAGTGCTTTGAAGTGCAGTTCTTTAGTAGCAGGACTTTAATTTTAGTTACGTAGGTATAATGTATTTCAGAATGTTTAGTAGCAAAACCTCTCCCACCATGCTATCCTTGGAGGAGACCTATAGCAGTGGGGCGTATAATGGGTTGCGATGATAAAGTTTGAAAATTTGAATGAATGGGCAACTTCCTCATAATGTGAAATTAAAAATTTTCGTATTACACAAAACTTTTACTAAAAAGCTACCAATTTTCTGGCCTCATTAATTTGAAGTTAAAAATAGAGTCGCTCGTTCTAACAAAAAAACAATATTTTTAAACTCTAGTGACACCAATTTATATACTATAGTAAGAAGTGTTGTGAAAGTAACCTATTTAGCCTTTGTTTAGAACTACTTAAAACAGTAATAATTCCGCCAAAGTCGCTAACATGGAGTGTTTACAGATTTCTTACGGGTTTCAGGATTAGAATTGCAGTTGTATTATAGATTGTATAATACTTTAGCAGAAAAAAGGAGATTCTAGTTGCCAAATGGCACCTTTTATACAAAAGACATTACTTAAAAAACTTTTATGAGCTTAATAGGAGGGTTATCTAATACCTAATTCGTATACCTAATTTTATAACTTTCATGTTATAAAAGTGCTTTTGACCTACGATCATGTATTGCTTTATTATACCAAGGGTTCATGTTCATTATTACGAAACAACAAGGAAATATTTTGGATAAACAAAAATGTCTACACAATATTACGGATTACTTGACGCAAGTTTATAGCCCAAAAATAAGTACAAAACTTTACATTGTTTTGTAGGAACGCTACGTCAAATTGTCATAAAGATTTTTATAATCGACACATATATGTTGAGTGTATGCGTTATTATTATTATGTGTGTTACATGTTTATGCTTCTCCATGATTTCGGCACGTGTTGAAAATGTATTTGGCATTGGTTTCAAATTCTATACATCCGTTTATGTAGAATGTCTTCATTGTTACTCTGTTCACTTTGCAGCGTAAGAAAAGAAACAACTGTTTTGTTACTAAGCACTGGTAAACCTAATTAATTAATAAGAGTCGCCATTTTGAAATATTAGATGTATTTCAAATATGAAACTATTAGATAAGTTTTTGAACTTACACCATATTTAATAAGACAGAGGAAAACGTGTTTTCATTCGCAATTTAATTTACTCTCTGCTAATCTCCATTTATGATTCAAAATTAAAACTAGTCAGCTAATTTTTTCTACTTTTGAATATAACGCTCGTTTACAGTTGTGCAAAAGCAACATCGCGTCCCGATGCGACTAATTGACCTAAGATCAAATTAGTTACGCAGCTTTGTTTCAGTAATAGCGACGATCCCGATCGGCCTACATCATATTTATATCGAGGCCCAGGCTGTTTCTTTTTAGACATTAAATTCAAAAGTTGTTTCACGCGTAAATTGATGTTTGTACATATATCGTTATTTATTTACAAGAATTAAATTTACACAGATGCTAGTAAAATGTTGAAACGTACTTTTTTCGATTGTGTTGTTTCTACACTTTGAACAAGTGTTTTATGCAGTGCTGTGTCAAACTCTATTTTTTTTTATAGATAGCGTGCGCGTTCCAATAGTCAGTTTAAATGGCAATCTAGCGCGTGCAATAGAAAGGTAGCGTGAATTGTAGAGTGCAATGTAGCGGCAGCGGATCTCCCGCCAAAACGTGCGCGTCGAGGCATGGAATAGTGCAGTTATCCAATGAGACTCTGCCGCTACAGCCGCGGCAGCGCGCGCTTTATCAAATCGTGATAATGCGGCCTCCGCCAAACGTCAACAAAATTACTTAAAACTAACCGTATCGTCAGCCAGCTCAAAGCACGCTCGACCTTCGGGCTGCGAGCACACCCTGTTTGCAATTCGCAAAAAACAAACGAGAAATATACGATAAATAAAAATATAAAAATCGCGGTCCGGTTTCTGTCGACCTTATTTCGAGTTTGAAGTGAAAAAATATATGTAAGCGGGATGGAATGTTATGATCGATGAAATTCAGTTACAAATAAAATCAGTGTTCAATAAATTCGATAACTTATTTTACAAACATTTTTTGCCATTATCATTATTACTTCAAGTGGATCGTTGAGAAAGTGACTCTAAGTTTAGTGAGTTCAAATCGTATTGTACCCAGCGACTACTTTCATCTGTAAGTATCCGGTTTATTCATACAGGCGTAAATTGTGTTCTCTGTTACAGTTTTGCATGCAAACATACTTTTCACTTAGGAGAGTAGGTATTTATTTGTTTTTTAATGTTGCGTTGGCGCAGCCGGTATATTTATGTTGTAATTTTACAGACCACTGGCAGTTGCCTGTTTAATTATGTAGGTAACTACACAGTAGTATTATCCTTTAAAGTGAACATTATCTTGACGACCTCGGTGGCCCAGCGGTTAGTACTGTTGGTTTGGTTTTCAGTAGGACCAATTTCGGGGTACGAACTTTTCTACTACTATTTTCGAACTAGGTAATTCTTGTGGTTGTCTAGCACATTGTTGTCATTATAAACAAATTATTTTATTTCGAAAACTGTACGTAGAGTGTCGTTTATCTGTGAACGGATGTGTACAAATTAAAAAGTCATTAAAATTTACTTACATTGTCTTGCAACTTATGTTATCAATGGGACTTAAATTACTTTACTTAGAACAAGAACAAACGAAGACAAAGTATTTAGGTATAAGTTCTAGTCAGCGTTTATAAGACGTATGTTTGTATGTAGCTATATATAATAGTAACGTAAAGAAATTACTTTCTCTATTCCACCTTTCGCTGTCCTTCATACGATGATCTATTACAACAGGTATTTTTGTAGTTTCTATTATGGGGCAAAAGTAAATTATGATGCACAGATACGAAGGATTTTTATATACATATACATATAAGATATCCGTCTTGTATAAATTAAAAATGCAGTTTTTATTTTGTGCAAAACACTCATCATTTTTTATGATTCAAATTGGCAACAAGGATATGTTTTGTCTATGATCGTGCTTTGTAGGTATAAATTGAAGTTTATGACGCTCAGATAGGAACGATTTTTATACACGTAAAGGTATCTGGTATCTATAATGCCTAGAAAATTTGCTTCGTGGGCATGAGTAATGACGTGCATAGTAAAATCTTTTTAATGTAATGTTATCTTGCATAAATAAAAAAAATTATGAGTTGTTTTTAAATTGTGCAAAACAACTCATCATTCGAGTTCTTAGGCTTTTGCGATTAGACCCTTTACAGGTCCTATGGTTACGGTTGACAGTTAACCATATAAACAAATATACGATATTTAAATCCGGAAAAATAGTTTCATAACTCATCATTCTTTAAGTTTCAAAATCACAGTTACAAATAAGTCTACGGTCGTAATTGTTGGTATAGTAAAGATTAGACTTGAAGATATAACAGTTTATTTTAGGCATTACAATCTATAGAATGGAAAACTTATTAACTAATATAATATCCAATATATAACTATCTAGCAATTGAGATCCTATGTGAGTCGCTTTTGCAAACTATAGCAATCATAATGCTATTGGCACTGTCTAGTACCATGTGTCTAACAGAAGAAAACTTTCTTTGTAACATTTATTATAACATGATTGTTACAGGAAATTATAAAATGATTCTCGTTTCATAACTACCTATATCCTCATGAATGGAAACATAAAACTTACCCCATCGAGTCTTGTATGTGTTATATAATTATTCTATTGTAACATCTAGTAAACAGGTATTGTCATACGTAAGCAGTTTTCGAGAATGGTAAAACAATCACAAAATGAGTTTACTCACGTATTTAAATGGATTTTTTTAGATTCTATATTCAAGTCATTAAACTAAGGTCATTAACTAAAAAAAAATTAGAAAAACACATAAAAACGTATAATAGCGATGAATACAATGGAATATGATGGAGGAGAATGACTTAGTTACAAGGTTTCTAGTTCCTCTATGAGTGCGTCTTTTGGAGGGTGTATTTTGACTCTGGAGGACACCATACTTCGAGCCCAAAGAACCACGTTATGGTTTGTGAGGAACGCGGCCTAGACCATGAGTTATGCTTAACGGGGGTAGCACCCCCAATACATCTGTAGTAGTTCATGAGTAAATGGTCCTCTCGCACTTCTACATTCAATATGTAAATATTTTTAAACTAGGTAGTTTTATTCGTTGTTTTGCAATTTTATCTAGTTAAATCATAAACCGCCTGCAATTTTATTGAAGTAATATAACTTCATAACGATTATGAGTGGAAAGACAAGCTATACATTTTTGTTCGAATATCGCCCCCAGTACAATGGAACAAGATCCGCCCATTGACGGAAATGTGTCGCTTGATGTGCTGGCGTCTGTACTTACAATGTAGGTAACAACGCGAGACCTCATATTATACTATAGTTATATATATATATAGGGGCGTCATTTTGTACTATAGTTAGCGAATATATTATATTATTACGAATGTGCAATAAATAAATATAATAAATAACACACAATCAACATATCCCCGCGCTAGGGAAACCCTGTGTCGCGGATGCAATGGTGTGTACATAGACAACCACAAATTACATCCAAACTCATACGAGAGATAAATGTAGGCCATACAAATATTTATCCTGTCTTAATTATACCTCTGCGTGGTAGCGTATTTTAGAAATAAAAAAGATTACTTGGACGAGGGGCAAAGATTATGACTGGAAAGACACGGCAAAAAATAAAAAACTGAAATTTGCGGCAATTTGGTAAAAATATTTCCAAAAGTTTATTTTTTTGTTTGACGAATCCATCGTGTTTCATCTGTGGAAGTGCGTTCTTATGTAAATTTTGTAAGCAGGACGATGAGTTTATTGGACCAAAACTTTTATTATTAAAAATTGTTAACCTCAAATTGTCAAACTCAATTATATGTTGTGGATAAGACCAAGTACTTAGATATTGGCCAGGGATGTACTTAGTTCGTTAGTTTCTTGAATTGTGTAATTTTATTGATACGACATACTGTGTTCAAGACAATAAAACTTTTACTGTCCTGTTTGAAACACAAACGATAAAGAAAAATAATGAATCCTTTCTATTAACAATCTTATTACGTAGTCTATAACCGAACCGTTGATTACTTTGCTAATGAGATTTCAATTTTATTTCAAAATTGGTAACACTTTGGTTTTGCACTTAAATCGAGTATTACGAATTATCAGGCTCTGTGCTCTGAAATAGTAAGTGGTATTTTCTTGAAATTATTAAAATTACTAAATTAAGTATTAGGTAGTAAATCAAGTAAATAATTACTTCGAACCGAAAGTGTAGTTCTTGTTATTAAAACAAGGAGGAGGTTCTTAATTCGACTCTATTTTCTTTGTGTATATGTTACGAGATTACTTCAATATTTGTGAACATCTTTCGATGATCCTTTTTTTATTTGAAAGGAAGTAGTTGTAGTCGCATTTAAATTTGAAGAAAAGAATGGATATTAGGGGATGAATCTGGTTTATTGAACTTTCAAAATTATTTATGCCACTCCTCCGTGACAATCTCTGAAACATATTTTTCATATTCTCCGACAGCCTGTCCAGGTGATGAAAATCGTTGACCGCGTAACTGGTTCTTAATTTTTGGAAATAAATAAAAGTCACAAGGTGCCAGGTCGGAACTGTACGCGGGATGGCTCATACAGTCAACGTTATTCACCTTCAAAAATTCATTTGTCTGTCTGGCCGTGTGAGAACTGGCATTATCATGGTGCAAGATGATACGGCATTTACGGTTATTTTTACGGAGTTTGTCAATAACTTTCGGCAAACAAATGGTCGTGTACCAACCACTATTCACGGATCAACGATTCTCCAAAGCAACAGTAGCCACGTGTCCAGTTTTATTAAAAAAAGAAGCAATCATCCGCTTAGAGACATTTTGCACGCGCCCCATTTTGGTTGGTTTCGGCTCATCTCGAAAGACCCGTACGCTCGATTGCTGCTTTGTTTTGGGATCGTAACTACAAATCCATGTTTCGTCACCTGTTACTATGTCCCACACCAAATTTGACGCCGCTTCGTTGAATCTGGTAAGCATGGCATTGCAACAAGTGACGCGATCCGTTTTTTGAGCCTCTGTCAAATTGTGTGGGATCCACCGAGAGCACACCCTTTTCACACCCAAATGTTTGTGTAGTAGTGATTATATTTGACTCATGCCTATGCCTATAGATGTCCGAATCTCATGGTATGTCTCTTTTGATCATACGGCGCACTGCATCGATGTTTTTGTTGTTCACAGCAGTGGACAGGCGACCATCACGAAATTCGTCACTGAGATTCACACAACCGCGTTCGAATTTTGCAAACCAGCTATAAACAATAGTCGTCTTGCATGGTGCTTTATCACTAAAAGTTTTAAACAGAGCGAAGTTCCGCTGAGCTATTACATTACATTTAAAGTCGTAGAAAATCATACTACGAAAATTTTCACGAGTTAAATCCATGGTGATTGATATAGACAACCAATTTCTAAAATGACGCCACAATGTAAAAACAAGTGACAGTCAGATGAAACAAACTGTATTCTACAGCCAAAGAGTTCCATTTTCAAATGTTGTAATTACTTTTTAAATATTATTTGTATAAGTGGCCAGTTCCGGAAGCGTGCCCTATGTGAAGTGCGCCCTATGTATAATGAATATTCACATAGCTAAACATTAACAAAACATAAACTTGTTTCGTGTACTTCGTATTATTTTTATGACTTTCATGTGATAAAAGCACTTTTGCCGTTGTTGTATTGTTAGTTTTGATCCTTTAGTACACGGTGTAATACGGATGTCCTACATAGAACTAGAGCTAAGTTATTAAATTTAAGACAGAGGGGGTGCTATGCAGTTATACTTGGCGAAATATTATTTGCACCGAATCGCCTTATCGCTTCATCTTTAGAATACAATAGGACAAAAGAGCGAGCCGTCTCGGTAACTCAAGTGCCATCTGTATAGTGCAAACAACTAGTTTAAACACTTTTACGCATTGGCGCTTAATTTAAAACTTAGTAATCTTTATATGGAACTAACTTTGTTGAATTAGTAAAAAAAGAGTCGACAGTCAGTATTTTACGAAGTACTTACAGGTTTAAAAAAAACGGCCAGATGAGTAAAGAAATA